GGGCATTTTCTGCCTCCCCCACGTCCTAGATGTGACAGCAACCTCCAGCCCCACTGCCGGTGCCTCCCCACCGCTGGGGGTGCATTTGGCATTTCACAGCGTGTTGCTCCCTTTGTGTTCATGGCTCCTGCACCAGGAGAGCCTGCTCTGGGCCTCCTGCTCTACGGGGGTGCTGTGCAGGGCACCTTCCATGCCCCCATCAGACACCACTTTGTGAGCACCTCCAAGAGCATCGTCAGCATATCCAGATGTGTACTGTGCAGATGTGTCAGCTCTTGAAATGGATGCCACTGGCTATGTGTTGTGTGTTAGAGACAGCACAGGCAAATCACCACTGAGACAGTTATTTCTCACGGCTGCTGCAAAAGGTGTAGGTGACCCACTTAGATGGAATCCTGTGCTGAGAGGGGTATCACCGGGTCTGTTTCCCATCTCACAGCATGCAGGAGTCTGCCACCCCACCCAAATCCCACCTCTCTGAGCCATCCATTTTTAAGAGCTGGGGGGAAACCCCAAGCTGGTGATGAGCAGTGAATGCAGCCAACAAACCAAAGGGAATATTCCAGAAAACTGATCCCACCTACCTGTGTTTTATGGTACCTGTGTACCTTCAAAACACCAGCTTCCTCTTCCCCTCCAGAACCAGCTCAGGATAAGTCCCACCACCTCCTGCTGCTGGGTTCCCCCCAGTCCCTGCCCATGACTGTCCTGCCATCCCCCCCAGGAGACACCAGGCAGGATCTCCGGGTGCTGCACAGTGTGGAACCAGGCCCAGGTGCTGCTCACTCGCTGACAAGACAGAACAAGTGGGTTTAATTAGCAGGAGGCGAGAGCCAGCAGTAGGAAGGGAAATGCGCTGCTGATAAGATCGCACGGTTGCAAGCAGTGTGCGCGCTGCTCACAGCGCGGCCTCCTTGGAAACCCTGCTCCAACACGTCTGCTTTGGCACTTCCACTGCCACGTGCTGCTCACTGTCTCTGCTCATCTCACCTAGGACATGCTGCCACCACAGCCCCCAGGTAGCTTTCTGCTTCTGCTCCTCGCCAGTGCCAGACCTATGTGGTTCCATGGCATTCCCAAGATCTGCTGCCCTGGAGAAAGAGGAGCCACCTGAGCAAAGCCAGGCACAATTTTGGATCTCCCACCACTGAAGGCCCCAGTTAGGTAAGGAATGTCCATCAGCCCTAGGGAGGGGATGTCCCCTGGGGCCCTGAGCTTGGGAAACTGGAGATGCTTAACTCCTTGACAGCTATTTAGCCAGCTGCATAAGTCAAGGCTGCACAGCATCCTTAGAAAGGAGAAAAGAGAAATTCATCTGGGCTATAAACAAAGACTCAGTGAATCAGGAGCTCCCTGAGTTTCAAGTCAACAAAGTCTTTATGAGAATTATGGGAATGGGTGCTGCAGGCACCCCCAGTCCTCCAAGTCACCCGGGGATCTTCTGTGGGGCTGTTCCATGTAGAGGAAATGGGCCAAAGCACTTCCTAGAAAGACCCTTGAGGCTCTCCCAGGACTTGGGAACCTACAGGCTCAGGGAAAAGATGTGATGATATAAAGCCATCAGTGAAACATGGGTAATTTCGGAGAGCTCAAGATCAACAGCTCAAGTCTGGGAGTATGAAAAAGGATAGCAGCAGAGCCCTCCAGCAGCACCCACTGCTCTCCAAAGGCCCCCAGGAAGCCAGGCCTGTGTATGGTGGTGCAGGGACAGGGGTGCAGTGCGTGGTCCCCAGATCCTCCTGCCCTTTTCAGCTGGGGAGCAGCAATGATTGGGCTGCTGTACATTGGGCAACAAATGAGAAGCTAAGTGTGATCCCAGCACCACAGGGTCCTCACAAACCACGGAGCCATCCCATGGCTTTTGAGCAGGACACTGATAACAGGGTCCCTTGGCAGCCTGGCGTGGTTCCATCTGGAATAGAGTTAACTGTCTTCCCAGCAGCTGGTGCAGCGCTGTGTTTGGGTTTCAGTCTGAGAACAGTGCTGATAACACGCCCATGGTTTAGTTGTTGCTCAGTAGCACTTGCCCTGATCAAAGACTTTTTCTCATGCTCTGCTGGGGCTGAGGGGCATGGGAAGCCGTTAGGAAGCAGTGAAAAGACACCTGACCCAAACTAGCCAAAGGGGTATTCCATCCCACAGCACATCATGCTTGGTATATGAACTGAGGGGACTTACCTGGGAGGGACCAGAAGCTGCTCAGGTTGGGCTGGCCATCAGTGGTGAGTGACTGCATTGTGCATCACTTGTTTCTTCTCAGGGGGGCAGGGTTTTATTATCCCTTTCTCTCTCTCTTTATTTTCTATCACTATTATGTTTTACTTTGATTTCCATCATTAAATTGTTCTTATCTCAACCCATGGGTTTTATCTTTTTTCTAGCTCTCCTCCGCATCCCACTGGAGAGTAGGGGGAATTAACAAGCAGCTGCATTTAGTCGCTGGTACTTTGGTTGCCAGCTGGGTTTAAATCAGAACATAGCCCCAGAAAACATAAGATGAATCAGGACCAGGGACCCCAGCCAGAAGCAAGAGGAGATAGAGCCAGGACTATGGACAAGGCTACAGCATATATATGGGATCCTTTTGGGGTGGGAGGCCAGAGACAAGCTATGTGCAATGTGGATCTGGGGTCCATCCCGAAGATATGGCTGGAGACAAGCTTACAATATCAATTCAGAGGCCACCTAGGAGACAAGACCAAACAGAGGTTTACCTACATCAAAGCTCAGCCAAGGACAGAAGGCCCAGTCCTGAGCTTAAAAAACGCCTCTGGCCTCAAGCAGCAGGTCCAGAAGGTGAGGCTGCTCAGGGAAATTAAGAGCAATTAGTGCCTGCTGGGTCCTGCTGAGCTCCCCCCGGCTCTGGGGGTGGCATTGCTAGGGACTGAGGGGGCTTGTGAGAGCTCCACTGTGGTCTCAGCTGGGGCAGGAGGGGTGAGGACCAGCACCCCAGGGCCATGCCAGCCCTGGGGGTCCTGCTCATGGGTGTTTGGGGGGTGACTTGTATCAGGCCTCATGAGCACCCCCTGATTGGGGTAACTGGTGGGTGCCAACACGTTTCCACTTCCTTTCCAGCAGATCCCTGGGGGTGGCCCCAGCCAGACACCCCTCCGGCCACTGTGCATGAGTGAGCTCATGCTGGCGACCACAGAAACCTCCAGCAACACAAGTGGGTGCCTGCTCCCCACCTCCATGCAACCACCTCATGGTCAGGGGCTTGATCTGACACGTCCTGGTGTGGCTCAAGGCCACGTGCCCGCACTCCTCTTCCCCCTGGTCCTGCCACCCCCAGCAGCAGTGGCTGCTGGTGGGATCGTGCTGTGGAGCAGTGCAGGGACCGAGCCCTGGTTAAAAATAGCCTGGCAGAAAAGGGGATGTGGTGGGCTGGCCCTGCCAGGGTGATGGTGCAGCCTCAGCCACAGTGGCCCGGCACAGCACGGCGTGAAAACACCACTGCATACTCTGGGGCTGGGGCAGGAGAGTCTGGTTCACACCCCTCATGCCGGCAGAACCTGACTGGGTGCCTGTAGCCCTGCCTGTAGCACTGGGACAGGCATCCACATCTTCCTCAGCACTCAGAAGGATCCCAGTCCCAGTCGCTGCCCTGCTCAGGGCATTTCTGGGCATGCAAAGCAGCAGCGACCTGGGACAGCCCAGCCCACTCACTTCTGCCCCATCAAACAGGGGCAAGGACAAGTAAGCCGAGGTCCTTCAGAGACCAGGGGCTCCCCCCAGTAGGCAGAGGACACGTTTCCCTGTGGGAACCTGACAAAAAGCGTTAAGTCCAGAGGGAGGGCACTGAAAAATGGGGTTGTGGCTTGTTTCTTTTCTGTTAAAGAAAAGGAAGAAAGTAGCAGTTTCTGTTCTGCTCTCAGCAAGAAACATGTTTCAAGCGTGTTTCTGCTCTCAGCAAGAAACATCTCTCTTGGCAGTGAGCTTCCAGTGGCTGTAACATCCGTAACCGCAGTATAGTCCTTGATCAAAACCACTCTGTGTTTGTCCTTCCCAACACCTGAATATTCATTATTAGGAAGTGAACTTTCAAAACTTCCGCATGTGAAAACCTTGGACTTGCTTTTCCTTGGCAGCAAAGCAGGAGCTGCTCAGGGCCCTCTCACAGGCTGCTGGGGCTTGGTGGGGGGACGGATGGACGGACGGACAGGGGGTGTTAGCTATTTTCATTTTTACTGTGTAGAAGTTTGCCTCCTTGTGACCATGGCGACAGTTTTGGTTTGATGGTCTTTTCCCTCCCCATCCCCTTTGAACAGTCACACTGCCAGGGAATGGGGGAAAGCTGGGACAGCAAAGAGAAGCAAAACACCCTCCAGTCCTTTCTGCCAGCCTGAGGAGGGGTCAAAGGGAAAGAAAAATACCACGAACTCAATGAAGCCACCCACAGGCAAGACCAGCACACGGTGCTCTACAAAATGGGGAAACTTTCCATCAAGCTTTGGGCTTACAAGAGGGAGGGAAAAAAAAAAAAAAAGTGTGCTTTTATTATTTTTTCCTACTAATTTTAGCTGCCCTCTCCCACGGGAGGAGATGGGGAGTGACCGTGTTTGGGAGCTGATGTCTGGGGACAGGGACCCTCCTCCTGTGTCCCTGGAAGCTGGGCTGGTTTCAGACACAATCCCCCCAGGAAGGAGGAGCCCTGGGTGTGGAGCTGGGGGCAGACACGGGCCACGGGAGGGACTCCTCACTCCATGTGGAGACCATGGCTGGGGCTGCCGCAGGACACGCAGCTGTGCCAGCGCGCCCTGGGGGGGCTGAAGGTGAGAGACCCCTGTGGATGGGCTGAGATTTGCCGGCTCCTCTTGAGCTGTTTCCACCCGCACCCATGATCTCACCAAGGGTTTCCCAGGGCTCTGAGCATGGTCTGCAGCAGTGTGCACGCTCCGTGTGTGTGTTGCTGCCAGACAGCCCAGTGGACCACGGCCCCAGGCACTGCACGTGTCTTCCCTGGGTTTGATTTCCCAGGAGCAGAGTAGAAGGTCCACAAGTCAACACCGAAAGAGTTTTATTCAGCAGCTGCCCACCCTGCTGCACCCAGCAGTCATTTGGCAGCACAAAGCCACTCAGGAGCCCCTGTCCACCTCCCATCCCTCTCCGCGTTGCACGTGGCCATCACCACCCATCTCTTCCCAGGGCTTTGCCACACAGAAAATGAAGGTGGGGGTAGGGGGAAACTGGGAGTTGGAGGCTTTGCTGCCTACCTGGCCTCCCAGAACGGTGCTTGCTCCAACCCAACAGGCCCCTCCACCGCGCACGTGGGGCACCAGGCCATAGGGCCCCTCTTCCCATGTGGCACAGCCCATCCTCCTCTCTTGGACAGCCTGCGATGGGCCCGTGGGTCGCGGCAGTGCTCTCTTCTCCGTAGCCCACAGTACACTCATCCATAAAGTAGGAAACACTACACCCTGCAGTGCTGTTTAGTAGTGCTTTCTACTTTATGGGTGACTGCACTGTCTCTCAGTCCGTGTCCGGCAGTCGCTCTCCTCCAGCGATGTGCTCACTTCCGCCCGCGCGGGGCCACGTCCCACACCCCCTGTGTCCCACGCGGGCCCCCCTCAGTGTCAGCACGGCCAGGGATGCAAATCACAGGGGACACGGAGCCTCTGCAGCATCACCTCCTGCCTTGGGGAGCTATGCCAGGCATGGGCACCGTCCTCGTCCCCACAGGGGAGATACTTCTTTGTGCTCCCTTGTCTCCACTAAAACCCCATCCTGGGCACAGGGGACATCCTCACCTTGTCCCCATGGGCAACACTGTACTTTATACCTCGTTGTCCCACCTCAAGCCCTATCCTGGGCACAAGGGAATTCCTCACCTTGTCCCCAACGCAGAGAACCCACCTAATACCCCATCCTGGTCACAGGGGACAGCTTTGACTTGTCCCAAAAGGAAGGACCCCCCCTCAGACCCCATTCTAGTCATAGGAGTAAGTTTGCACTTACCTCCAAAGAGAGGAATCCACCTAATAATACTCCATTCGGGTCATAGGAGACCACTTTGACTTGTCCCCAAGCAGGTGACTCCACCTCAGACCCCATTCTGATCATAGAGAACCCAATTGCCTTGTCCCTGCTGGTGGGGACCCTTTCAGACCTCATCCAGGGTACGGAGGTCGTGTTTGCTATGCCCCCATGTGAGGCTTCACCCCATACCCTTTCATAGAGGACCCCTTTGCTTTGTTCCCATGCCGGAATCCCACCCTGAACTCCATTGTTGCCTTTCAAACCGCAGAGGATCCCATGAGGACCCCCTCATCTGGATCCCAAAAGTGAGATCCCATCTCAAACTCCACCACTGTCCCTCTAATCCCACCTGCATCACAAAGACTCCCCTTGCCATGTCCCCATGATGGGACCTAACTTAACTGACACCCTGGTCACAGAGGACTCTTTTGCCTTGTCTCCATGGTGGGCATCCTACAGAAAACCCCATTGCCATCACCCTTGAAATGCCCCCATGGGGGACTAGGTGTCATCCCTGCCTCCTTATCCCAAGAACACTTTGCCTCACCCCCCTGCCCCTGAAGCCACAGGAGCTCCGTGGCTGGCGGCTCCCCATGGGACTCCACCTTGCCCCATCTGCCAGTCACATGGAGACACTTTCCATGCTCCCACTGCCCTTCAGGCCATGCGCTGGGGGTCAATCGGGGGTCCCTGCACCCAAAGCCACATGGACCCTCACCCCGCCAGCCTCACCTTGTCTGCACCGCCAGCCTCCATGTCACCCAGTCTTGTCCCCACTGCCACTGAAAACCCCCTGGGTGTCACTTCTGCTTCGGGTGCTTCCTGCCTCCACCCACCCGCCAGTGTGGTGCCTCCTCCCCCCGGCACCCCCCTCCTGGGATGGGGCACCCCCTTACCTGTCGTCGGCCCCCAGCACCCGCTGCCCCCCCCCACAGTGGAATCGGGGCCATGGCCACCAAACCCCAGGAGGCCCCGTGCTGCTCCTTGAGAGCCATGTGGGCACCTTGGATGGGTCCCCCCATTACCAGGTCAGGGCACAGGTGGCCCACGCTGGGTGCTGGTGGCACATGCCAGGTGCTGGTGGTGCATGCTGGGTGCCGGTGGTGTATGCCAGATGCCGGTGGCCCACGCTGGGTGCTGGTGGCACATGCCCGGTGCCGGTGTGGTGAGGTGCTGCATGGAGTGATGGTGGCGGCGGCCAGAGAGCAATGGGCCCCTGTCCGTCGTGGGGCTGCTTTTAACCCCATCCTGCCCACGTGGCCCCAACCACAGGAAGAGCCGTAGCTGCTGAGGAGATAACGGTGCATGGTCCCACCCAGCACCACCCCGCAGCCTGACCGCAGCCAGCCCAGCGAGGGGCGAGGGGTGGCTGCTGCCGAGCACCGGAAGCCGTTGCAGAGCAGCCGATTGTGCTCTCCTGGGCCTTGCTGCTGAGGGCGACAAACATGTTTGTGCAAAACACAAAGAGCAAAAAGGGCTGTTTGCGCAGGGCGACAGGAACCAAATCCACCCCCTCCCAGCTGCGTGGGGGCTGGGATGGCCACGGGGCTCCACCATTGCCCCTCGCGCCATCCTGGTGGTGGGACCTGCACAGGAGTGAGACATTCCTAACCACAGAGAGAGCTTACGGAGGGGTCTGCAGGATTCAGGGTGCCGCCCAGTATAGGGGCAAAGGAGGTGGGGACATGGGTGCCAATGGACTGTGAGCCCTAAACGTGATCTTTCGGAAACACGTTGCCCAAGAGGCGTTCTGGAGCCTCTTACCCACTCCATGCTCTGCAACACTAGACTTCCCCCCGCCCCGGGCAGCTCTAACGGCTGACAGGGATGTGAGGCCCCGGGAAGTAAAGCAAAGGCCAGGTTCGCAGGGTTTGCATGCCGGCTTGCAGTAGCCAGCACTGCTCGATGGCACAGGGGCTGGAGCTCCTGTGTGTCATGGAGCAGGGGGTTTGCACAGCCAGCACTGCACTGCATGCTGGAAGCATGCCCTGCCACAGTGCCAGGTGAAGCTGCCCATGAAACTAGTCTAAAAACTACGAGCTAAAGCACAAAAGGTGACTTTAAATGGGATTGCATCTGCCTGTGCAATTGTTTTCATGTGGCTTTGCAAATGGCTCTTTTTTTTAGGCCAAAATTATTCACACTCCACATTGACAAGCTGGACGGAAATGTAAAAAAAAAATAAACCTATGGTGAGGTTTGCAGAAGGCAGCGGAAGAGCAACGTCAAAAATAACCGAGCAGCAGCACAGTCAGAAGTGATTTGACTTGAGCAGCACATGAGCTGGTAGAGGGGGCTTTGGTGGAAAGGGAGCTGGTTGGGAAATTCTTTTCAAACGGAGATTGAACTGCTCAAAAAGTTTCACTGGGAGAAAACAGCCCCAGACCGTAAGTGGCTGGAGTGAGCCTGTCCGCCTGCCCAGCTGGCCCCAGTGGTCTGCCCTGTCTCCCATCCTTTGCTGGTTCCCCAAGCCAGTGAGAAGTTCAGCAGGGAAATCTAAGCAGGTGATGTCTCCACAGGGTCCTTTGCTGGTGCAGCTCTGACTCAGGAGAGCATCCCTCTGCTTCTGCTTGCGGCAAGCAGCTCCTCACCAGCGGCAGAGGCCACCACATGCACATGTGGAGCTGACCCAAATGCCTTCTGAGCTCCCTGAATTATCCCTCCTGACGACACCTGCAATTGTGAACATCAGTCTGGATGTGTGAGCAGGTTGTTCCCAAACCAGATACTCCCCTGAGACAGCAGCCCAAGTCCAGTGTAGCGGGCAGGTCCCCAGTGGTACTGGGTGCTACCACAGGGTGTCAGAGGTGCAGAGGTACAGGCAACCATGCACCTACAGCAGAGACAAGGAGCCTTTCTGGGGGCAGACGGAGGAAGCTTTAGTCCCAGAGGTGCTGCTGGGGACTTTCCAAGTGCTCTGGGTTCAAGGCCACATTTCTCGTAGCGTGACTTGCTTCAACAAGCCAGCCCCTGCTTGAGAGAGCTGGGGGCAGGGGGTGGAGGTGAGAAAAGGCACATTTGATGCTAACCACATTGCAAAGCAAGATGATGTGTTTCTTAATGGAGGCAGCTGGGAGACACTGCTGCGGAGAGACGGATGTCATGGGCAGGGTGAAGCACGTGGCCAGCGCTGGGGATGCTGCAGGGAAGGAGCTGTGCCCTCCCAAAATGGGCTCTCAGCAGAGCACTGCCCACCCAGCAAGGAGCCGAGGAGGTGTGTGGGATGGCCACTGGCGCCTTCCCAGCAGGGAAGTGGAGGGAGGCAATGCTTCCCCTTTCCCTGGCCCAGCACAAGCAAGGGGACATGACATTCTGGGCGTCCCAGGCTGGTTTCCTTCTGCCAGCAGCAGCCACTCACTGCCTGCACCACCTCTCGGAGAGGAGGAAATCAGCAGATCTGGTTCTTCAGGTCTCTAAGTCTCCAACTGATGATGAACTTCCCACATCCCCCGGCCATTGGTTAATTTTACCAACTGGCAAACGAGGCTGCAGGAATTTCTACCCCCAGTGCTTGGCCTGGTCAAAGGAGCTCCTTGTGTTGGGGACACAGAGGTGTTTTGAAGCTCAGGGAGGCTGCTCTGGCTGTGTTTTCTCCCCGAGGACCTTGTGAGAGCTTCTGGTCCCTAGAATGCTCCTGAGACCCCTCTTCAGACCCTGGCCATCTGCTTTGCATCACCTGAGGACTTGCAGGTGGATCCCCAGGGTGCTGGTTGCTGCTGTTCCCAAGGGTGCTGCTCCCCAACCCACCAGCACTCCTTAAAACAAACCCTCTCTCACCATGGCACTGCTCCCCTGGCTCTACCCTCCCCTGCTCTTCTCTCGGGTCATGCAGATGCAGGTTGGACACCTGCAGCATCCCGGCACCCGGGTGTGCCACTCAGTTTTTGCTCTGTATTGAGCACCGGGGATGCACTGCTGCTGCTGCTCCACAGGACCCAGGCTCCCCCCTGCCCAGCGGGACATGGGCTGTTGCTTTTCCAATAACTCTCCCAGTATCAATGGGCACAGGGGAGTGGGAGCTGGGGGCTTGGGGGGCAGCAAGAGCGCCAGCCCCGGCACAGGGGCAGGGGGAAGGGCCCTTGTCAGGCTGCACAGCCCAGGCGCTGCGAAAGCCCTGATATTTCTTATCGCCCCTTGCAGCAACTTCCCCTCCTCGCCTGCGGTCGCAGGGCTCGCTGCACGCAGGGGAAGTGGTGGCCAGGCCGGCCGCCTTCAGCCCTGTGCCGTGCTGAAAGGAGATGAACCCCTGCCAGTGGTCCCAGCTCTGTGCCGGGCAGGGAGCTGCCTGCTGCCCAGCCATGCCTGTGCAGCTTCCATCTATCCGGCTCCTCAGGGGCCTGAGAGCTGTGCTGGAGGAGGAGGAGGGAGGGGGTGGTCTCACCTGAAGCCTCCCTGAGTCCCCTTCACTGGCTAGTGGGAATGGGATTCTGCTAGCCACTTGCTCCACAGACAGCCAGCAGCGCCTCCTGGTCATCATTCTGCCAGACCCCAACAGAGCTACGGTCATGTCACTGTTAACACTGAACACTAATGACTGCATTCCCAACATATGCCACCACGTTCCCTCTAAGAAGAGGGGACAGAGGCGCACAGATGGGCACAGTTCCCTCTGCTTTGCAGCGCAATGGGTGTCCTCAAGAAAAGACCCCTGGGGCAGAAGGCTCCAATCTGGTGGTGCTCCTGGAGAGCATGGGGAGGGCTACTACTGCTGCCCCAAAGAAATCGGGGGTGCCCAAAAGCTCCTGAGAGTTTTTTGGATGTTCAGATCATTGCCACCATCCTGCTAGGCACAAGGAAGCGCTGCTGGCACAGCCAAGGGTCACCTCTGCACCCAAGCAGGAATGGGGCTGAGCCCCGTTTCCCTGCCAGGCGCCGGGACGCGCTCCCAGCCTGATCCCGCTGCCTGCGCCCTGCCCGTCCCCAGGGAGCGCCGCTGCCGGCAGGGCCGTTACAAGTGAGTCAACCAGAAACTGGCGGTGAGGCGGGCGGCAGCCGAGTGAGCGTGAGGGGAAACCTCAGCGAGGCCGAGCGCCGCGGGGGGCGGGCGCGCACGGGACCAAATTTAGACAGAGCGCGATCTGACCAAATATAGACACAGCGCGGCCCGGCTGCGCCAATGGCGGGCGCGGGGCCGTTGGCTGCCACGCACGGGGCCCGTCACATCCCGTGTCACCTGCTGCAGCGAGCTCACAGGTGGGGGCAGGGGAGGACACGGGTTGGGGCCCGGCACCAGCGCTGCGGCACAGACCGCGACTCCCGCTCTCCCCTTTCCCGCCTTGACCCAAGGGTTGTGCAACGGCACACGGTGGGTGCCAGGGCGGGCCCATTTGGGATGGAGAATCATGGAATCCCAGGCGGGTTTGGGCTAAAGGGACCTTAAAGCTCCTCCAGCCCCAACCCCTGCCACGGGCAGGGACACCTTCCACTGGAGCAGCTTGCTCCAAGCCCCTGTGTCCAACCTGGCCTTGAACACTGCCAGGGATGGGGCAGCCACAGCTTCTCTGGGCACCCTGTGCCAGCGCCTCAGCACCCTCACAGGGAAGAGCTTCTGCCTAAGAGCTCATCTCAGTCTCCCCTCAGGCAGCTTAAAGCCACTTCCTCTTGTAACTCAACAGCAATATGGGGAACGGATGAAGCTGTGCTCTGGACCTTCTGGTGCAGGATGGACTCAGGAGATGTGGGGCTGAGCTTTGTAGTGACAGTCCCTCCTTCCCCAGAAGTGCCTGCTCCCACAGTGGGACAAGGCATGAGGATCTCTGAGGTCCAGAGACCCTGAGGACCCAGGGACAGGCACCAAGGGCTGCCAGGAACATCTTTCCAAACCTGGCAATGATGGCCGCTTTCCAGACCAGCCAGGCCAGGTGGTGCTGGGAGAGCAGCATCGAAGGCCCAGCCTGGCCAAGGGGCTGGTTCCTGTAGCCACCAGCACAGGCTGACACCTTGCCCCATACCATGCACCTCAGCTGTTTGGGGTCTCCCAGAGGAGGTGCAATGTCCTCACCCAGCATGTGTCCAGGACTCTGCTTGGATTCTCAGCAACTCTTCTGCCACTGTCCACACAGGAGGACCATTCCCTCCAGGGGAAAAACCCAGCACCTACTTTGGGAAGAGCCTGGGTGACGTACATCTGGCCAAAAGGAGGAAGGACGAGTACCACTCAGGATGCAGCAGGAGGCCCTGGTAGAGCTGGGGACAAAGCAGATACCACCAGGTTCTCAAATCCGTCCTTTGACTTCATCTGTGGTCTCACTTTGCCATTTGCCACAAGGAACCATGCACCCCCCGCAACCTCCACCGTCAGGATGAGACCCTACTCTGTCCCACCAACCCCTGGCATCTCCCCTTCCCATGAAGCAGAACTGCAGGAGCAGACCAGGGAGGTGAGAGGGCTC